TACAGAACATCCCACAGCAACGTCTTCTTGAGGTAAAGCGGCCACCCTGTCTTAGGACTACCCACCAAATACACTTTTCCCTCCACTGACTACACTTTGTTCCCTTGACCCTGATCAATCCTTTTTTGAGGCCCAGGGTCCATGCCAGTCTGGATAGCCCTTCACAAGAGCAATAAATGCACCCACTTTCCACTAGTTCCACTGGCAGGTTTAGCAACGCCCAGGAGGCTCCCATGAGCCTTGGATGTCAGATCTAGGTTGGCAATATTGTCTGCAAAGTTGGGCTAGAGACATTTAGGTAGTAGGTGGGATGGGACTGGAGTTTCACAATGAGCTGGAAGAACAGGTCTTCTTCTTGGGAAGGGGGACCTGCATGGTGCTGATCATAGGGCAGTCTTCTCTAGTTGGAATCTGATGTGACCTTAGCTGATGTCAGCCCCCAGCACCGGCCCTACACCAGGAAAATGTCCTTCATATTGTTGGAGGCCCCTCAAATGCCATCTATTTGTGGCTTGGCTCTGTGACTGGCACGAGTCATAAGTGATCCCAGGGACAGGATATTTTTGGCAGTAGGGGCGGAGCTTGCATTAAGAAGCCTAGACCATGCTGCCTGGGGACAGGCCTCTAGATGCATACCTCCACTGCCCAAGCTGGCTGCTGAGAATCAGGTAGGATACACTTAGCCCCTTGCTTCTGTCTAGGGGTCCTAATGGCAGGAAAGCTTTACCATGGTCTCTCCAGGGTCTAGAGAGGGGGAAAGGGCTGGAAGTTAGGAAGCCCCCAGTGGCTTTTCTCATTTGGAAGCCCCCAGTGGCTTTTCTCATTCAGGATTGTTTCAGTCATAGTGACCTCCTAGTCTCCTCATTCTAGACATAGCTGGCCAAGGCCTCAAGAGTAGCCCCTTTAGGAGACAGCGGCTGGAGGCCTTGGCTAGCTCTGGTTATCTTGGTTCACTGAGATAGGGCAAAATGGGGCTTTGGATAGTCAGGCAGCACTAGATGGGGGTACAGACACTGAGGACAGCCAGAGCAGATTGCTGGGGCTCAGGGAAGCTCATCTAAGTTCTGTAACCTCTGGCCTAGGCTCTTCTTACAAACTTTTGAGCAGGCTCTGACCAGTACTAGCATGACCTTGGTACACTCAGAAAACCTGTTCCAGCCAAGACTGGTGGAAGGTCATCATGAGGAGGCTAGTCACTCATGGTTACTATAGATCCTCTTCTATGGTTATCTGGTGGTGGCTGGGGAGGCTAGGGATGACCATCAGAGGGAATTGATCTCTGATTGGGTGGTCTTTGATGCAGACCATTGTGTACAGAGGTTGAGAAGGGAAGTCAATCCCATCAAAAGATCTCAGAGATGTGAGGGAACACCATTCAAACATGACAAACACTGGTCTTTAGTTTACTTCACTAATATATATTAAATATATAGCATATTTAATAATAATATAATAATATATAATAAAATCATATTTCATTTTAGGACTGTGACAATATGTCATGGTAAAGTTATTTGGAATTGAACTGAAAATAGGGGAAACTGAAGTAGATTTCTTACTCAGAAGAATGAATTAGAAGAATCTGGAAGAAGCAGAGACTGTTCTGTGGTTCCTCTAGATGGAAATGAACCGCCAGAGAGGGGGCAGGTGCTACGAGGTCAGGCAGGGTGGTAGCAGTGTGTACTACTTAGTGTATGGAGCCTGGATTTGTGAAGACCCTGCCTGGCCCAAAGTCTTGCTGTCACTCCAGCACCTCTGCTGATGTGCAATGGACAACTTCCAGTATAGTGTCCAGCTCAGTGATCGAGAGTGGGCTGAGTTCTCAGCCACTGCTGATGAGTGTGGCCTCTTGCAGGCTGGCCTGGCCTCTGGTGACGAGCTCTTGTCCAGTGACATTGACCAAGGGGACAGCAGTGGAAGCAGCCCCCCTGGGCCCCCACCCCTCTTCACTGGGCAACTGGCTCCCCAGGGGAGGAGACAACAGGGCTCTGAGTTGGAGGACGTGGCTACTCAGCAGCTGGTCAGCAGGTCTCAGTGTGAGCCTGTCCTGGCTCTGGAGGCCAGTCATCAGGTAGCCGGCACGTCCACACAGTCAGAAGCTCTGTTCCTCAGCCCAGACAGCGTCTGTCCTGGCCAGGCCTTGTCCTTCCAAGGGTCAGCAACTTTCAGGGACAAGATGCAGAGGCTTTTGCAGGGCCCTGCTCCCAGCTCTCCTGGTGAGCCCTCTCAAAGTCCTGAGTCCCCTGGCCACAATGCCATCCCTCAGAGTCCTCCTGACAACCTTGAAGCTCCACTGCGGAACCCTGGTCGTAAGAAGAGGCGTGCTATGGCCGCCAAGGGGGCCAAGTGCTCTGGATCTCTGGGCTCTGCCGCTGTCCAGATGAGCTCCCCACAACTTATGGAGACAAGGCCCAAGGAGGTTCTTATGTCTGGGACATTAATGGCAAAAGCCCAGCAGGGTAAGCCACAGTCAGACTCTGCAGGTGCTTCTGAACATGGCTCTAGTATCCCTGAACATATGACCAAACAAGAGTCAGACTTGGATCTGTCTACACCTGTTCTAACAACTGAACAAGATACAGACCAGATCAGAAAGACACCCAGAGCTGTGCTACACATGATATCCAAACCTGTCCAGGAAGCTCATCCAGATGTCTCCACAGCCACACCAAATGTGTCTCTCTCTACACATGCCTCCAAGTCTCAACCTTACACGGCTTTGTCTAAACCTGCCTCCAAGCCTCAGTCTGACATAGATTTGTCTCCACATGTCTCCACATCTGACATGACTTTTTCCACACTTGCCTTCAAATGTCAACCCAATACAAATCAGTCTACACCTGCCTCTGATCCTGACATGGCTTTGTCTACACCTGCCACCATGTCTCAACTGGACAAAGCTGAATTTGCACCTGCTTGCATACCTGGACTGCATGAGGACCTATCTGTAGTAGGCTCCGAGATCAAGTCAGAAGTTTATCCCTCTATGCCTGCCCCAGTGGTTATGCTTTGTACAGATCCGCCTCATTCTGTTTCAAAGACTGAGTCTGAAGAGAGTATGTCTATACCTGCTATGCCTCCCTTGTCCCCTGTTTCCCAGGCTGAAGCTGCCAGAGTGAATACAGATGTGACTGTGCCTCCTGGGGGATACTTGGAGAAGCCATTAGGGCAGCTCTCAGCAGGGTCTTCAGGATACTCCTTAGGGGAGCCTTGTCCAGGTCCTGTTCAAGCCTCCAAGAAGAAGAAAGTACGATTCTCCATGGCTGTACCCAGCCATGAAGAATCAGGATCAGGTGAACCTACAGGTCCACCCTTCCTAGCCCCAGACCGGCCCCCAGCTCCTAGGACAGTAGCAGGGAGCCGTGGGGGGTCTGCAGCCTGGGATGCTGTGGCTGTTGGGCCCCGACTCCCCCAGCCTCGGATCCTCAAGCACCTGCCTCCTCCTATATCCTCTGTCTCAGCAGAGCCTGAGCCTGGAAGCTGCTATGCAGTGACTCTCCCTGAGGCCTATGAGTTCTTCTTCTGTGACACCATTGAGGAGGAAGATGAAGATGTAGAGGATGAGGCAGCAGCCAGCCAAGCCCTGGATGAAGTCCAGTGGCCTGACACATGCGAGTTCTTTTTTAGGGACAGCAGAGCCCAAAGGTCAAGTTGTCAGAGGGGACACTCCACAGTCCCACCCCCAAAAGCAGAGGCTGTGGCACCTGTTCCCCCTGGAGATTTAGTGCCTATCTCCATCCCTGAGGTCTATGAACACTTCTTTACTGAGGAAGAATTTGGGAACAGACAGCCACCAGCCACCCATATCCAACTGCAAACCTCGGAGCTCTTCAGGGAAGTAGGGCCTGAGGCATACTCCAAGCCTGTTCCAGCTACAGCAGAACATCTTAGCTTGACAATCAGAGAGGCAGGTAGGTGTTGATCAAGACCCAGCCCTATCCAAGTCCTGGGAACATACTGTCCAGGGAGTTAGGCCAAGAGGATATGGGAGAGGGGCAGGAAGGATTCTGATCATCTGCCTGTATGGATGTGTTTGTATGTGTGCTCTTGCATGCTCTGGGATCTACACAAAGGGAAGGGTAAGTTCCTAAGCTACCCCAGGACACAGTCAAGATGGGGCAGCTCAGGCCAGACACCAGGGTTTTGACTTTGACACTGATCATTGTCCTAAGTCCAGTCCCAGATGCCATCAGGAACTTTCCTCCAGCTCCTAGGGGGATAGGTACTAGGCACACATTCCCACTCAGTCCATGCTGATTGAGGCACTGTGGAAAAATATCTCCTCTCCCCTCTGGAAACTATTTCACAGACCAGAGAACAGAAGACCCTAAAGGCAAATCACCCAAATTGTTCTGACTCAACTATGATACATGTTATCCAGTGTCTTAAGGAAGAGAAGTCATGTGGAAGATCTGACTCAACACATTTCTCTAGGACAGATGGGATTTTATGTCAGGCATATTTCAGAGAAGAGCATCTAATGTACTTTTCTTTCCTAGAGGAGCTACGGAGTCCCCTTACTTCATTTACATTCAGCCAGAATGACATGTGCCTGGTATTTGTTGCCTTTGCCACTTGGGCTGTGAGAACCTCTGATCTACATGCCCCAGATGCTTGGAAAACAGGTTTGGAGGTCCTGGGGACAGAGGGTGTTATGCTTAGAAGCCCTAGTGGCTATAGTTATTTACATCTGCTGGGCCAGCAGGGATGAAGGGTACATGGGAGGTTCAGCCTCTCTTTGACCTTGCTTTTGTCATTACTAACCTACTTCCAACATACTGTCCTTTGAAGGCTGGGTTATATAGGCAGAAGGTAGTAAGAAGCCAGAGCTGGCACTCAGGGTATCTTCTGTCTCTCTTACAGTCTTGCTGGCCAACATTGGCACCATCTCTGCTATCCGCTATTTCCGCCGTCAGGTTGGAAGAGGGCGTAATGGCAGACCAAGACCAAGTTCCAACTCAAGCCCAAGCAGCTAGGAGCCAGGCTGGCCTGGTGAGGCATGGGGCACAGGGATGAACCCAGGTGACAAGGACAAGATCTTGCTCTTCTCTCCACCCTTTGATCCCTGACTTCTGAGGCACCTAGGAAGGAGCCAGTATCTGTGGGTGCTGACTTACTTGGACTCAAACTAAGGGTCCAGCCAGTGGCTAAGACCAAGGCCATTTTCCATACGTGAGAGGGTAGAGATTCAGGATTGTGGGTGAGTGGACCCTGAGCCAAGAGCTAGGTAATAGGGCATCAGATTTGCAAGTAAAAACCACAGGGTACATAGCTATATTTGAATTTACATGAAGTACTTGAGATGTACTTGTATGAAGAAATTATTTGTTATTATCTGAAATCCAACTTAATTGGGCACCCTGCCTTTTGTCTAGTCATAAATAAAGGATGAGCAGCAGAAGAGAACTCTACAGTAAGTCTAAAAGCAAAAAGGCCCCTCTGGGTCTGGGCCAAGGGGCTACTAGGTGCCTTCAAAGCTAGAGGGAGGCAGTCCAAGAACTCTGCTCTACTGAAAGGCAGGCTTGGCTGTCAAGGGCCTCCAAGGTCCTGATCCCTAAGGCACCACAGCCACAACTTGCCTAGGCCTGGCCTGAGTCAATGAGTAGGTTCTAGGACAGTGGTTCTTAACCTTCCTAATGCTGCAACCTTTTGATATAGTTCCTCATGTTGTGGTGACCCCTAACATAAAATTATTTTTGTTGCAACTTCGTAACTGTAATTTTGCTACTGTTATGGATTGTAATGTAACTATTTTTGGAGCTAGAGGCTTGCCAAGGGTGTTGCAACCCACAGGTTAAGAACCACTGTTCTAGGAGATATCTCCGGGAATGGCTTCTGAGGCCCCTGCAATATGGCATCTGTGGGGCAGGGCTGGGTCTTCTCCAAGAGCTCTGGACAGGATATACATAGAATCTGATAGCATCCTATGGAAGGATTGTCTCCTGATACTATAGGGAGCTTGAGTGAAGCCAAGGCTGAGAGAAGTTGTGAGTGGGAAGGTAGGTGAAGGGACTGAGGTGGCATTGTGAAGACAGCAAACGAAGGTCCTCAGGATGGTGGGGTACTCTGGCTGCTCAGAGGGGAACACAGGGACACAGCACCAATAAAATCTCTTTCTTGTTTATGGTGTTAGTCTTTCTGACCAGCCTTACCCTATGCACCTAACAGTACTGGATCTTCCCATACTCCTGTTTCTTGTGATAGTTCTCAACCTACTGACCTCTGACCTCATGTCCTCTGTCTTCACATGCTGAGTTTGATGACCTGACTTTTTTTCAGTGCTTTGTATTTCACATTCATGCTGTTCCCCACTTCTAAGTAAATACCTGCTCTAGCACTTTCATTCTTTCTTCCCTAGAGGTATAACCCCTGGGGATATCCAGGATCTCACTGATTTACCTCACTGGTTTGTTCCTAGGAAGAGTCACCTCCTCTTAGTTGCTCTAGTTGCTAAAGCTGAGGAGCTAGAGCCTGGTGAGAGGTGCTTCTATCCTCAGAGTTCTACACACCCTTAACTGGCTGGGATTAGTTAGCCCTGGTGGATTTAATGTAGGTCACAGGGCTGGTATGGCTGCATACTCTTATCCAGGTTGATACTGGTTGGTTGTGTTTCTGAGAAGCAGCCCACCTGGGGCCCATTAGATCCACTGGATGAGTCCCATATCCACTGGAGTCTTCCTGAGCTGTGTCCACTTCTGGTGGGAGGGAGAGGAAGTCTTGTTCCAGATAGGAGCCTCCTCATCTAGTAGGGATGTCATAGACAAGTCAAACACCAGCCTTTAGGAAATAGCACCCCTTCCCTGAAGGAGAGGAGACCCTCACTCACCTGGGGGAGGTGGCAGGGAACTGGGTGTACTTTCTCTGGTAGGGGTGACCTGGGAGCCCCAAAACACAAGTCTTAAAGCCAGCACAAATCAGTCTCCTTGATTTGCCAGTCTCTTGCCACTTTCTTTAACATCTAGCTTCCTGTCCTACTGAACTGTCTCTATCCCTGGTTTCTCCCTGTCCCATTTTTTGCTTTTCTCCTTGGCATCCTGGAACCCTCTACCCAACATCCCCTGATCCTGAAGCCTCCACACCAGAGTGGAGGATGCGACTTACAAGCTGAGGGAAGTCTGAAGGCCGTGGCCCTCTGTTCTTGATGGAACCCCGGTGTCTCTGGGAAGCTCTGGACTGCAGGGCACCTTTCTTGGATAGCAAGTGGGAGCCCAGAGGCATAGGGGAGCTGGAGTCAGAGACAGGCACAGACACGGAGACTGAAGGGAACGGGCTTGATAGCTCAGGTCCAGGTGATGTCTGCATCGCACAGAGGAACTGCTGGAAAAATGTGAGTTACCTGAAGCCCTGGTCTGGGACCACTATGAAGCCTAGGAATCCCTTGCCCAGAAGCACCCTCCCTTCATAGTTTTCAGGCTTCTGACATCTCCTGATCTCACTGTAGCATATCCACCTAGTAGGACACTGACCTCATCTAGGCCTTGGAGGTCTGTAATCTTGCGGTGGGATGTAGCTGGTGGTGTGTAGGGATCAGCATAGAGTGGAGAGTGTGGAATATCCAAAGAGTGGTCCTGAGCCTCTGGACCACTGTCTAGGTCCATTGCACTTATCTACAAGAAGAAGGAGATGCATGGGTTCCCTTAGTTAGATGCAACAAGAACCTTCTGTGCTCAGTACTTGAGGTCTCTGTGTGTTCCATCTAGACAAGCAAGAAAGTAGAAGCAGAAGGGATAGTGGCCTGGGGTCAGGGTATGTGGTGGGCTCACCTTGGTCAGGTCCAGGTGCAGGGGCAATGGGACAGCTGAGCCAGATACTTCCCTTCGAGCTTTGCCCCTGGGAGACTGGCTACTGCCACCGTGCCTCAGCTCTATCTTCTTTTGGACAGTGCTGGCACAGTTAGAGTTGGTCTGGTTCTGTGGACACCAAGAACCACCCAGAAAGATCTCCAGGGTTTCTTTCCCACACACTCTTCTATGAGGCTGTATGAAGGTCCCTTCAGTTCAAGTGGCCTCCCTGGCGAACTATGGTCCAGGGTCACTGTGGGACAGTGGGACCTAGTCTCCCCAGAATACAGAAGTCCTGTGTTTTCTTATCCCCCTCCCATGTCATTCCTTTAGGTACTTACAGGTACAGGCTGGGCAAGGAAGCCTATAGTGGTTGGCACTGAGGATTCAGGGAGGGATTGGCTGGTGGGGAGCACTGGACACTCTAATTTCCAGCTGGTTCGTCCATTGGAAGAGAGTGAGCCTCGGCCTCTACCCACAACCTAAGCAGCAGAGGTAAGGTGAGTGGCTAGATCTGTCTCCTTGTCTATCCCTGCTTGGACCTACCATTTTGCTCCCTAGTTTGTACCACCTGAGTTATAGGGACCTCACTGACCCCTCACCTGTGTGGGTCCATGTAGTCCTGGGAAATTCTCTGGGCCAGGCAGCAGGTGGGCCCCATCCCTATGAGAGACAGTCCGGAGGCACAGCAGCCATTGACTGTAATCCTCATAACTGGCACATACCACACGGATGGTGTTGATGAGGCAGCCTAGCACACAGACATGTGAACTAAGGTCTGGCAGGACAGGTACATTCCTTACCCCACAGAGACCCCAGCAAAGATTTTGAGCATCTACCATACTAACCCTTAGTAGAAGCCCAATCAGACAGTGGGTAGATTCTGGGTAGGACCCTACCTTCGATGAGAAAAGAGCGGATCTCCTTTTCCTTCTCTTCTAGGTTGATGTGAATGGCACTTAGTGGAAGCTCCCCCTGTAGAGTGAGGACTAGGTATTTATCTGTGTCATCTCATCCTCTTCCTGGCCCTACCTTCCATCCTGCCCTCCAGAGCTGGGCTGAAAACTCAGGCCACCCTAGCACTGAGGATGACACTCCGGGAAAGGCAAGGCAGCTTTGTTCTGGGACATTCCCACTTTACTTCCTGTTGGTTTTTCTCCAGCCGATGCCAGTTGTAGACAGATGATGCTTATAGGGATTAGTCCTTGTCAGGGAAGCTCCCTTGGTATGTTTTTAAGTGACAGTGAGTACACACCAGTATCATGCTCTGGTTCCTCACCCCCACCCCCACACATAGACATGATGCATGCTCAGAGACAATGCACCAGGGATTCCAAGAAGTAGCTTATTCCATTCCACCCACTCCAGGGCTAGTGATGTCCCTCCAGGATGAGAGGAGTTGTAGAGGGTGGAGACTCCTCTTCTATGCCAGAGCAGAGACCAGATTGACCGGGGCAGTGGGGCCAGATGGGTGGAGCCCTGTGCTCTGTCCCAACAAGCCCTGAAATACAGGTTTCTGAGTTTCCATTCCCACCCCACAAAGGACACCTAGGACAGGTATATGTGGAGAAGGCCAACCTTAAAGCTAAGCCCATCTGGCTCCTCAGAGAAGATGGCCAGGGATGCTGGGTATAGTACCAGAATCCGGTCCCACTGCTCCTGTAAGGGGTCAAAGGATAGAGTGGGGTTGGGCACCCAGAGTCCAGCCTTACCTGCCCCTGTATCCTTCCCTATCTCATTGCACCTCATGGCTTTTCCCACCCACCTGAGAGGGCAGATGCTGCAGCTTGACCCTTGAGGCACAGATTGCATTGCCCATGGATTCACACCTGGATGCTCTCCATAGCCGTGTCCAGGGGAGTTCATTCCCCAGGGGACCCTGGGAAGGAAGAAGAAGTAGGTCAAAGTCAGGCCAGAGAGTCTGGATGGGGGAAAGGCTTGCAGGTTCCTGCTACTGACCTGTGGGGGTGCTGAGTGGCAGCGTTGCAGACCCCCCAAGAGAGCCATTTGCTTCTCCAGGTGGTAAATCCAGTGACTGAGCTCAGCTTCACTGTGGCAGAGAACAAGGAGCGGGGCAGGCAGTGGGCCTGGGGGCAGAAGAGTCAAGTGGGCTAGGAGAAAAGCTAAGAGCTCCCAGAAGCCCACAGGAAAGTCTCCTCTCCAAGGGCTCAAAGTAGACCTCCAAGGCCAGGTCCAGGGGTTCTGGTCCAGTGGTGGCCAGCCAGCACTCTCCACACACCTGTAATCTGAAAGGCATGCTCTCTGGACCCATCAATCGTGCAGATGCTCAATTCTGTCAGTGGTAGCAGCCCCTGCCAGAGGAAAGTATAGGAGGGGCTGCAGGGACTCCTTAGGAGCAGAGTCCCTCCCTCCCTCTGTCTATACCACTCACTTGGAATGTAAGTCCTTCAGAACCATGGGCTTGGAAGTACAGGTGGGAGGGGAACAGCTCTAGGTAGCAGTCACTGATGTCCTAGGAGAGAGCAGGGCCACTAGTCTCAGAGGCTGGGGGGACAGCCCTGGAGTAGCATGGATATTGGTCCCCAAGTATTCTCTAACCTGTTGTGGCTCCTACCTGGCTGTTCTGGAACCGCAGCTGGACCTTGGAATAGTGCACAACCTTTCCTAGGTTCCTCACAGGTGTCCTCCGCCACCCCTTTTTGAATACACTCAGAAATGGCTGTTCCAGATTTTCTGGCTGATTTTCCGGGCCTGGGATGTCCTGGAGGAGCAGGGCTCAGGAGAGGGACCAGATGGGGCCAGATCCCCAGGCAATATACACACAGTTGCTGCATACAGTTCTGATCTGTCCATGCCATGTCCATGGTCACAGAATACATTCATCAAGAACATACACATACATGCATACCTCACACACACCTAAGCCTCTTCACATGAAAAGTGGAATATGTATACACCATACATAAACATATGACTCCTCACAGTCAGAGCTATCTGCTCTGTGGTGCAGACTCAGGTTGGTACATAGTGGGTTCAAACCTTATCTTCATTACCTCCCATGCTATGCAACTTGGCTTTGGTCATTCAACATCCCTAGATTTGTCAAAGAGTTCTGAGGTATATTATGAGGATGAGATAATGCTCAAAGCCTTCTCAAGTGTCCAGTGGCAGCTGGCATTGGTTTCTTACCTGGTTCTATAAAAAAACAAACAAACAAACAAACAAACAAACCAGAGTTCTAGCTTGTAATATTTGCTAATTTCTTTGGTGTAAATATTCCCAACACTGCCCAAATTGAGTTACCAATGTGATGTCTGTGAACTTGGAACTGGAAAGAGAAAGAGCCAGCTTTTGTGAGTCTATGCTGATGCCCCAGCTTACAATGTACACAGTACCTATCTTACAGTAGAAGGTAAAGCATTAGCAGCAGCATGAGGAGTCATTATGACTGAACTTGGGGCCCAGTCCTCTCCTCCCTTTTTCTATTACATAAGGCACATACATGTCTGACCTTTGCATGTGTAATTCTCTGCTGTGACCACTCAACCTTAACTCCTCATTTCACCCCCTTCAGGGCTTTGCTCAGATTTTACCTGCTTTCTGGATGCCCTAAAATTTCAGCCTTTGATTTCACTTAGTCTGGCTTATTTTATCTTCTCTTGTTTGTCTTGACTTTGACACAGGAATGGAAGAAGGTGAGAACAGGAATCGTGGTGTATTTTGTTTACTGCTGATTCCACATAGCCTAGGACATGACCTGGGATGTACTGCGAGGCAGGGGGAGAAGTAGACTCAACATCTACACAATTCTTAGCCAGTCTTGGAAGAGTCCTCTATATCATATTAGAGATCAGGTAGGAATGGGTAATGATAGCCTGGAGTAAGCTGTGAGCCACAGGCTTAGGAGAGGGATTATGTTGCCTTTGGGAGCTGCCCAGGACCACCTGCAAGGGCTGCTGTGCACTGGCCAAGTTGAACTACTTCTAGTGCAGGCCTAGGAATGTGAACAGACACAAACAACTTCCATCCTTACTGACTCTGGGTGGGGCCTCCTGCACCTACACCCACTGTGGAAACTGATGTTGTATGACACTGAAAAATAGGCCATGAATAGGAAGGGCTATGAAGCTGGTCCTGGTGGCCAAATAGCCTTGGAGCTCTGTCCCCATGAGGGCTTAGCTTGGAGCTGTGGCTGGGTTAGTTCTAGCTCAGGTGCAGAATCTACCTAGAGTCCATAGCCTAGGTACAGTGCACAGGACTGGTTCCATGCCTGGCCTGGGTCCCTCCCCCTTAGTCCACTTTCTGAGGGTCATGTTTTGCCCTTTCCAGTTCTGGCTAGGGTTAACTACCCAAGAGCTTTGGGACTCCCTCCCAGAATTACATCCTGGGCCTGACTAGAGGGAGTCAGGGTCTGAGATGTGGCCACAGAGAGGGATGCCACCCTTGGTCACTTCAGGCTCCGTCTTCCTTTTGACTTCTTTGAGGCAGCAAGGTTTCTGAAAGCGATATCTGCCTGCAGAGAGCCCTGGGACCTCAGAAACCAGGAGAGACTGTGATACAATTTTTTCTAGCTTCCTGGGAGACTGTGAGAAAGGTATACTTTGGGAGTTTACATCAGCTGCGGCACCCAAGAATACAAGATGGGAGCCTTGCCCCAGCCCTGGTAGAGGCTGTACATATAACAGAGCCTAGTCTACTGGGGTGGGTGTGGTTCTCCAAGAACAGCACAGTAGGAGGTGTTCCTGTCAGACCTGCAGCCCAGGCTTCTCCCAAGTATTGCCAGAGAGTTAGGAAAAGGGGAGGGGAAAGGTATCTTTTCTCTCAACTAGCGATTAGACCCACAGAATAGTTAGCCCTATGATATCTCATGACAGGAGGTCTATAGGTACTCTGCAGCTGACTGCTTGCTGTATGGGGATGGGTGCCTGCCTATATGGCAACATGGTAGCTGTGGGCTGCAGATAACCAGAAACAGCTGGGGGTGGGTAACACTTGGGGACTGAGGCCTTCAGTATGCTATTTGCCAGGAGCTCCACACCCCCCTCAGTTGTTGGGGGAGTGGAGGTTGAGGGTGGCCACTGTCCCCCTGTGTGTGTAACAGACCAGGCGGGCTGGTCTTGGTTTCACTCTCAACCTAGACTTTTGGTGAGCTCCCCAGGGAGGGGCAGTGTCAACTTCCTTATCTTGTTTTGTATTTGAATCCCTTCAAGCTGGCCAGGGATGACCCTGAGCTGCTAGAAGATGCAATTCCCACATTATCACTCACACTGTGGCATACACAATCATACAAGAGAAGCACAAAATTGTACTCAGACTCCAGGCCCAGTGCCACACCACTCCAGCCAGACACGCCCCTCCGCTCACCGTCCCAGGGATGTAGTGGAAGATCTTGTTAGCCGCGGTGTCCCCATCAGGCCTAGCCTCGGTGCCAAACAGGCCAGCCAGCTTCCTGGCGCTGTCCTCTCTGGGAACAAGGGAAACCGGAGGCTCAAGGCCTGGCACAGGTAGCAGGTCCAGGGAGACCCTGTTCCCTTGAGGCCAGGCCACACCCCTCACCTGTTTCCCTTGAGCGAGGGCTTTCTGGAAAAGGAGGCCCGTAGCCTCCTGGGGGTCTGAGGGACGCAGTGGCTGTTCCCCATGGATGGCAGCTGCTAGCTTGGGCTGGGCAGATCGACAGGTCTGGGTCCTTGGGCCCGTCTGCTACCACCTCCCGCCAGTGGGCGTGACCATAAGAAGTCCTGCCCCTACCCTGGGGCTGGAGGAGTCTTCTCTTTGGGCCCGGATTGGCCCCTTTCTGAGGGAAACCTTCCACTGAGGGCCCAGGTTTTCTTAGACCCTAAGCAGATTGGGGTAGGGCAGACATTTCCTGATTGGACCAGGACCCTAACTTCAGGAGTCAGTAGGACCTGGTCTGTATACACTCTGTCTACCTGTGTTCATACTAGAAGCGCTTGGGTGATGGAATTCTATGAGCACAGAGATCCTTCCTCCCAGTTGCCCCTCCCCTGCCAGGGCACACACATCCTGTTTCCACATGAATCCCAGCTGGTCTGAGTCACTGATGACTGTAGGGGGAGTGTGCTCACTGTCAGTGACTCAAGAAGTGCAACACCATATAAAGGGAGGCCAGAACCCTCCCCCATCTTCTCTCCTGCGGGGGCCAACCTCCACCCAGACCCAAGTCAGGGTTCCCAAGGCTTAACCAAATGCAGGAAAGATGCCACAGGCCTCCCAGGTTCCTAATACAGTAATGATAAAGTAGGGGACCTATCTTTCTCATGCACCACATAGTCCCAGACCATAGGAGCCTCAGGACTAGGGTAACAGCCAGTCTCTGTTGGTCAACAGATATACCAGTCTCTGTTCCATTTGGATGCAAAAGTGCTGTTTTGCAGCCCCAGACATTAATGTAGCATCTGAGTCTGGCTGCACACTAGCCCATAGACCTTCACTTTGCTGTCCAGACAGGAGTCAAAGGTGTGCTGTAGGCCCACAAGCAGAGGGTACAAAAGGGGCCAGAGATGTACATTCAGCCTCAGGCCCATGGAGCCCAAGAAACATGTTTATTGTTCAAGTTGGCTCATATTGCTGTGTAGGATCTAAGTGCATGTTGTGTGCCCAGCTCCATAGAAGATTCAGAAAAGACATCACAATGTATACACAAGACATAGGAAAGAAGTCTGCTTTGTTCCCTTCAGGGACAGTGCCTGGTAGAGACAGATAAGTGCTATGTGCAAAGCGCTGGCTAGGGGCTGCATCTTCTTAGAATGCCCTTGCCTCTTCTCCTGTGGTTACAGTTGCTCTGCCCCCTACTGTTTGCAAAGCCCAGCTGTGTTGTTCATCCTCCTTCAGTGGGTGTCCATCCCCAGCATTCCCTGATGCTCCATGAAGGGAGCCAGGCAAGAGGACACTCTGAAGGGCTCTTTGGTCCCCTACATGCAGGAGAGTTGACACTTGTGAGTAAATGTGTGAACTGGTAGCTGCAGCACTTCTCATCCATCAATAAATAGTGAATCAATAAATAAGTGAGTAAACAAACAGCACACAAATAAATGAACCAGGACAAATGAATACAGAGACCAAGACAGAAGGAACAAGAAATCCCTGGTGGGGTATGTGATCTGCCCTAACACTTGGTGGAAGAGACAGAGGTGGAAGGGTCACCCCATAGGGTTTAAGGCATGTGGGAGGCTGCAGGGCCTCTGTGCAGTCTGACATGTGTCAGAGGCTGGTAGAGGACACAGACAGCGTGGGTGAGGAAGGTGGTGGGAAGTTGAGCAGCTCCAGCACTGCCACACCCACACTGCTGCGTCTCGTGAACATGCAGGATGCTGCCACCCACTTGTTGGTCCTTGGGTTGTACTTCTCTATGGAGTTGAGGCTGGAGCTGCCATCATTGCCCCCCACAGCGTAGAGCCAGCCGTCCATGGCCACCAGGTCATGTGTGCTCCTGGGGGTTGGGTAGGCAAGAGTAAGCCCAAGGGGCAAGTCAAGAGACAAGTCAAATGAGTGGGGCACAGGAGGAAGGACCACAGGGACAGGGCTAGGAAAGGAGCCCCAGGTGCCCAGGAGGAACCCAAGGACCTGCTGCACTGCTGAGGTGCTGTGTACACAACCCCTGGAGCAAGGCTCCTGGAGTAAACCAGATGTAGTGGCAGAACCACTCACCACCCACCCCTGGCCTTATACACCTGCGGATATTCATGGGTGCCACACTCTCCCAGGCACCAGCCTTGGTGCTATATCTCTCCACTGAGTTGAGGCAGCTTGTGCCATCGTTGCCCCCTGCCACATACAGAGCACCCTCGAGCACTGCTACTCCTGCTGAGCTGCGTCGGCTCAGCATGGAGGCCACGGGAGTCCACGAATTCACCTGTAGAGACAAGGGAACAGGCTAGAAGGCAGACCCAACAAAGCACCCACCCCTGCCCCAACATAGACTCTACCCTTGGCTGGGTATCTGAGGGTCAGGGGTGGGATATAGAAAGCAGACCCCTTGGATAGCACAGGCGGCCAGAAGATGGGATTATGCCCCCACTCCACCTAGCATTTGAGAGAAAATTGTGATAGGGGTGCGTTATGCACCTGGGGCTCGTACTTCTCCACGGTGGCCAGGTGTGATGAGCTGTCATAACCACCCACGGCGTACAGGTTCCCATCTGTGGGAAGGCAATATACCCATGGAGCTCCTACAGGGTGTAGGGGCTTTGGGGTAGGTGGGAAGTGGACAGGCATGAAAACAGATACCACAGGAAGCAGGTCCTGTCACCCACCAAGTGTGGCCACACGCACATATCGCCTCCGGGTGCTCATGGCAGCAATGGATGTCCATGTTCCTGTCAGTGGGTCGTATCGTTCAGCACTGTGGACACCAGAATGATACTGATGTTCAACTACAACAGTCAAGTGACCCTTTCCCAGGACCTGCCCCCAACCCCCTACCCCAAGGCAAGGCTGTGGTTGAAATCCTGTTCTGGGCATCACAGACTATAAATAGATAGCAAGGTGTACTGGGTGGGCACAGGCTACTGGCTGCTTGGACTGGAAGGAGGGACCCAGAGAGAAAAAGGAACAGAATGGTACCAAGGCCCCACTGATGCTGTGGCCTGAGGTGAATAGACCTTGGGGACCTGGTAGCCAGGATTAGGCAGGACCTCATTCTCTTGGCCAGATGTGACTTCACAGTGAAGCCAGCCTCATCTGCTGCTGCTGAGCCAACCCTGCAAGGCCACTGGGGCCCTAACCCAAACTACTACCTGTTGAGGCAGGAAGCCCCATCATAGCCGCCGGCTGCATACAGAAGCCCATGCAGGGCAGCTACACCCAGGCAGCTTCGCCTTGTGCCCATGGACACCTCGGGCTGCCAGGTATTTGTCACAGGGTCATAGGACTCCACCGTTGCCAGGTCTGAGGTTCCATCATAGCTAGGAGAAGAGTCCATTACTGATCAAGGATGGCCTGGCAGGCATATGACAAACCCTTGACCCATGTCCAGCTCCTATGCTTACCCGCCCACAGCATACAGTCGGTTCCCAATAGCAGCGACTCCTACACGGGCCCGACGTGTAGACATGGAGGCCACCACATGCCAGCGGTCAGTTCGAGTGTCATACGCTTCACAGTCTCCATGGATGGCAAACAGGCTCCCACCACCTGAGAGGTGGGTGACCAAGTAAGTAAAGGGTTTCAGAAAGGCAGGGCAGGAGCCTCTAGTACAACCCAAGTGCAAAGACATGAAGGCTCCAGGGGTGGGAAGAAATGGGGACTGGGTCACCCTGGTGGAACCCATGCAATAGGGTCTTTGAAATACACAGGTCATAAGTGTATTCTGAGTTTGGGTAGATGGCCTAGGGCAAGAATGGGAAGGAGAAGGGGTTCAGCATACCAACAGCAAAGAGCACAGGACCAGCACCCTCACAGCGACGGGGTCTTGTGCGGCTAGTACCCAGAACACCCCTCTGCTCAGGCAGCAGGTGGAACTTAAGAGCCTCAATGAGCAGATCCTTGCAGTCAGGATGATGCCTCACAAGGCTTTCAGCATCGACGTGGCCCAATAGGAAGTCTCGGCTCAGCAGAGGCAGCCGTACACACTTCATCAGCTAGGGTAGGAGGTGCCAGGTAAGGCAAGACCCTAGGGGATACTTGTCCCAGGACTAAGACCCACTAGGTGCCTATAGCACTTGTATGATTAGTTCTTGAGACAGGCACCTATATCACCCCAAAATAGTTCCTGAATGGAAAATGCTAAGGACTCCAAGAAGTATGATTACACCTTAGGCCCCTGCATTCCCTCCAAGACACCATGGGAGCTCCAGGACCTGGCCTCACCCTTGGTACATGTTGCCTCCGAGTGTCTACATCATGTTTGACCCAGCTCAGGACTGCACGATAGACATCTTCCTCTGAGGGCACGTTCAGGCTATCACTAGAGACCAATTCCAGTACCTGGGGGTGAGAGGTCCTCAGACCTGACATCTGGGTAGGGGAGGGCCCAGAAAACCATGAAGGTGTCTGAGAGTATCAGATAAAGGGCATGTGCATGTGCATGCACAAACACACACACTTAATGTTCTTAGAGCAAAGGACCAAGCAGGGTCATGCAGATTTTTGGTTCCAGTAATGGTGGTGATGGATAAAGGAGGGGTGTCCTAGGCCCTGAGTAGCCTTAGGTACATGGAATCAGGGACTGGGAATCATGGTCCTGGAGTGTGGTAAAGACAGGAATCTAAAGCAAATGATTGGGTGGAGTCAGAAGATGTGGACAGGGTTGGGGGGAGATGGGCAGGGAATGGATCATAGGATGAATCTTGCACCAGAAACTTGAGAATGAGGATTGCAGAACACTGGCTGCTAGGATCTGGGCTGGGGCAATGTAGGGTATGGGCTGGGCCCAAACTGGCATGTTACCTGCTTCAGTGGTTACCTGCTTCAGTGGCAACAGCATGAACTCCTCAGTCTTGGCCACATCCACGAAGTGCTGCAGCACGTACCTGTGTGCTGCCTTGAGCAGGTCACTGCATGAGTGTGTGTCTGCAAATCCTCGGATGCCCAGGCAGTTGGAAGGGTCAAGCTGGCTCAGGAGGAACTTGCAGCAGGCATCTCGGACACCATTCAACTGTAGAAGGCTGGCAGCTGGGAGTAGAGTCTGAGGCACGAAGATGGGTGAGGCAGGAGGGGGCCAGAGGAGCACAGAGTAACTGGAGATTGAGGAGAGGCATGGGGAGGCCAGGCTACACAGATCTAGGGCTGGAGACCCCAGAGGCGTATGGGTGTGGGAATGGCATGCCTCACCTGTACGTTGCCCTCGCCCACCACGATCTCAGCTGTGTATGCAAACTGCACCAGTTGGTCTAAGGCCTGCGGGTCAATGTCATGCAGCGTCACATGTGTCTGTCGGCTCTCACTCATCTCATCTGTGAGGACAGTGGATCAGGCTGCCTGCCCTGGGAGATGTGCAGAGAGCCCCCTAAGGCTGCCCAGACTGAGGTATGTGGTACTTGCTTGTGAACATAGCGTGGAAGTAGGGGCTGCAGGAGGCCAACACCACCTTATGAGCACGAATTTCCTTGGCTGCCACATGCAGGACGATGTCACACAGGAGGCCACGCTGCCGCATGCGGCTCATAGCCACAAAAGCGTCGTGGTAGTGCCGCTTCGAGTTGTGTGCCACACTGTGACCCTCTCGGCTCAGCAGTTGCATCGCACCTTCCATGGGGGCTGCAGGCCGGGCCTGCCTGGGCCGAGCTCGCTCTGCCTCAGGGCTGCAGGCCGCAGGGCTAGGTCAGTGTTTATACACTGTAGGGAACCACTCACCCACCCTTGAGAACTCTGGCACAGCCAAGGCAGCTGCAGTCTATCCTGAGCAGTTCAGTCACCTGGG